GGCCTGGGCCTCCGGAGCTGGAGCCGCCGGTTCGGGTCCTCTGGGCTCTGGGCACCTCAGCGAAGCCTTGGGCCCAGAGGGCTCGGGCGGCTCGGGCTCGAGCGGCCCCGCTGGCCTCAGAGACCTGAGGCGATCAGCGCAAGCTGAGGCCGAACGTGGCAAGGGATCCGAGCCGTTGATGTCACCGGCCGCTTCTTCCAGCGTCTTTGCAAAGAAGGGGGTCTGGGAAGCTTAAGGAAAAGACTTGGAAGGGTTCTGAGAGTCTTTCTGCGGGGGGTTTATGCAATTGTTGGGCCCAGGGGAAGTTTCCTGGTACTGGTATGTTTGGACCGTTGCCCAAATGGATCCGACGCCGTGAAAAAGGGGACAACTTGTTGCTGGTAAGGGAAGAAGATGGAGACAAGAAGGCATAACAGTGAACTTTGTTGTCTCCAAAGGCAAAAAGTAAAAAGGGGAAGGCTAAGTCTGGCAAGCTTCCGCTGCAACGCCGTCTGAAGCACTTCCTTCCGATCAGGACATGCAGGATTCACACGCGCCGCATCGAAAGGCTCGCAAGGTGCATCGCATGGATAAGGATTCCCTGACTCCTTTGCAGGGTTCGGCCAACCTGTGTTGAACCAATGTGTCAAGATAGCGGACCCAAACAAATTAGTTTTGCTTCCCTGATTTGGCGTCCCTTTAATGTAGGGAATCCTCAAAAAACACATATATTTTTAAACACTTTTTGTCTAAACAAGCTCCATTCTGTTTCCCTTGGTTTAGGTTGCTTTCAACTCAGTTTGCCCAGCGCTGCTCAAACACCCTACCATAAAGTTATTGCCTTTTGCTTGTTAAAAGGAAGATCGAAGAAGAACCACGGCAACAACACCTCTTGGTTGCTTTCTGCTCCCCTGCTAAAAGTTTAACTTTTAGTGGTTTAATGGAAAACCCATTAGTTGGCAAAAAAAATAAAGTCCTAACATCCAAGCAACATGCACCAAAGACCTTAAGGCAAAAGCTGAGCCAAAGAAAAAAACACGGCAAACAACGGACGACGCCAAGGTCCTGTGCATCAACCCTGTTGCCAGTCATGGCCTCGATGGCGTCATCCCGCTCCCTGCCAAGTTGGCCACAACATAGGGACTGCCTTTGAACCAAAAGGCTGAAACCCATCTAGCAAGTGGATTTCGCGCCCCAAACACATGTTTCTTGTGTTAGCGTGGGAACCAACCGAGGTGGGGGGGTTAAAAAAATGTTGAACCCCCCCACGCCCAGCCCGCATATAATATGTGGGGCCTGGGGTCCCTTTTTAGTGGGCGTTCCTTTTTGGAAGAGGGGGGGACGAATTCATCCCACATGCTGAACTGAGGCTTGAACTGCCCAGAGTTGCTGTAGACCTAAAAATCATACTTTCTGATCCTATTCCGCCAGGGGGGGGGGTGTTTTCTAGTTTAAAAAACTGGGTGCAGGGACCCAAACAATTGTGATTTTCCGGTGGATTTCCCGTTTAAAGCCGCCCAAGAAGGAGTAGGACCAAAAAGACACAGCCAAATCTCATGATCCAACTTTCCGCCTGGTTTTTCAAGGCATCTCGCAAACAAGGACACCAGATATCCGAAGAAGGTCCTTAAAACCTATTTTCCGGCGGCAAACCCGAAAACCGCCGCGCCAAGAACCGCCGCCGCCTGGCGCACTCCATGGCGCGCTCCGCCCGGCGCTGGCGCACCCGCTGCAACGCCGCCTGGCGTCGGCCGGCGACCTCCTCCCCGGATCTCGACAGCACCACCTGCAGCGAGGTGGCAGGTGAAAAACTCGGGGAACCCCAACGTGGGTTGGGGGAAACATGGACTCAAAACGTTTATTGGGCTTTGTAGGGGTCGTCAGAAACCAGGGTTAAATAAATGGAACCCTGGTAGCTGCGGTCCTGACGTTTATTGGGACTTTTCTGGGTGAATCGTCAGAAACCAGAGGTAAATGGAACCCTGGTAAATGGAAACACACCACCTCAGGGAGGTGGCTGTGGTGCAAAGCTCGGGTACTGCCAACATGGGTTGGGGGAAACATGGACTGAACATGGGATTCTTCTGGGGGAGTCGTCAGAAACCAGGGTTATATGAACGGAACCTGGGTGAAATCATGAAAACCCAAATGGAGGATGGTACTGCAGGAAGCTGTTGGGGAGCTGTTGGCAGAAACCTGTTGAATCTGAAAACAGGGAAGATGGTACCCAAAATGAGCTACCCTGGGGGAAACATGGACTCAAACCTGAGTTTGTGTCTTTCTTCTTCTTCTTTTTTTCTGGTGACCGCAGGTGTTAGTCTTTGTTTCCATTTAGCTGCGATTTTGGTACGTTGTTTTTGAGCCAGGCATATGCATGTGCCATAATATATATATATATATATATATATATATATATATGGGTCTTCCAACATGTGCACAATTATTGCTGTTTTGTCAAACACTGTCTTTTGACCCAACGGCGATTATTTTCGCCTGCCGGCAGTTTTCAGTGTTTGCACACTCTAGCATCAATCAAATTGCAAAACGGCGTAATTTGAAGTCAGAACGGCGTAATTTGCCGGCGAAACGGCGTTTTGTTTTGCCTGGTTCCGAGCTGGACTCACGGCGAGCGCTTTTTCTCCGAAAGAGCGTTTTTTTCAGCAACCGGCGAAAATTATTGCTGTTTTGGGAAACGGCGTTCATTTTACATGTTGGAAGGATATCAAACTGTCCTTAAAAAAAGGAAGTACGTGGATGGACAAAATCCCTTCGCACCACGAAGCCACGGGAAACCATAGCGTTTATTGGGATTGTTCTTGGAGGAATTGGCAGGAACCAGGGTTTCTGAACTGGTGCGAAATGGGATTTCGTCCATCCACAGTATGTGTGAGCGAAAAAAAAGAAAAGAAGAAAAACAAAACCCTGTAAAAAAGGAAGTCACCCCATAAATTTGGAGCTGTAACCCATGTGTAAGGACATTTTGAGGGTCCAGGTGTCTCGCTTTTGTTGAAGTCCTTTTTTTTCGGGGTTGTGGAAAAGGAAGACGGAAAACCACCAATTTGGAAGGTCCCCTATTTTGAGACAAGCCCAGAGCGCAAAATGAGCGTTGCCCAAACATTGGGTGTTTCAGGGGGAAAGCGACAGGAAACCCAGGATTTTAAGTAACCTATTCCTATTTTGAGAAATTGGTTGAGGAGGAACCCACACCTTCTAAAGGCAAACCCTTCGAAGGGAACAAAAAAACTCAATCAAAAAATGGCTGGCATTTCTAACGAAACTCTCCAGGGTGAAATCCTTGGACTCGAGAAACACTCCTTTGGCCTTCTGGGAAAACTAGCTGGCAGATCAAGTTGAAACCTAGCTTGATGAATCTGGGTCCCTTGAAACGGCTGCATTTAAGAGGGAGTCTGTCAACTAATTTCGGGCCCAGACTCTGACTCGCGGGAAAATGGACGCAACTGGTCAAAAGGATTCGGTAACAGGTCAGAAAGGCTCCTGCACGGGACCGATGCTCATCCATGCGTTGAGATTGAGACAGGCAAACCCTGTTTCCCTATCAAGAACAATCAAAGCAAAGCTGTTTTAACAGTGGGTGAGCATAGGCCGCTTTAAACAGTGTTAACTGCAGAAGTTTGCTTCAACAATAGCGTAATCCTTACGACGGTGGGCTGATTAGCATCCCTCTTAAAGTGATGCCTTTCCCTACTTTCAACCGAGCAACACGTGTCTTCTGATCATGGCACCTGTTTCAAAGGGTTCACCTTGATGAACAGTCCCAACCATAGGGGTCCGCATTTCTCCGCGCCCATTCCTCGGTTTGGGTCTGCGCCTCCGGAGGGGTCGCCCGGATCTGCGGGCCCTCCAGGCGCTTGTCCTCGGGTCGCCCGCGGCGCTCGGCCACGAACTGGCGCACCGCGGCGCGGCGCTCCGTCACCGACAGCGGCATGGCGCCGCCCGGCGCTTTGCCGCCGGGGGTGGGGAAGGTTGGAACGGGGCGGTTTCACTGAGGTTGGGGCGGAAGAATCTGGACAGGTGGCTGCATCTGGGTATCATTAGAGTACTTTGTTAGGGGGACGGGAAAAGCCTGTCAACGAGCATTCGGAGGGTAATATGAAAACCCAACAAGAGAAACCACTACGTGCACCTGAGACTTCCTGCAAATTGAATAGATATTCCGACACTGGCAGAGGTTCTCCTATTAAATCCTCAGCATTGACCCCTAAAGTGGCCCGGTTCTGGGAAGGCTGCCCCTTGAAAGGCAAGTGGGGGCTTAGCACTGTGGGCTCTCCCCTTCTATTCCTGCCGGCAAGACGCGTGCTCCAACCTCACAGGCACAAAGACTCCTAGGCATGTGGCACTTTTCGGACACCAAAGTCAAAAGCAGCCTAACTGTCTCGCGACAACAATTCAAGATGTGCTTAAAATAACAAGAAGTGAGGATTGCTTAAGTTGAGACCCCTTTTGGACCCTGTGTCAGAAGAAAGCAAAAGACCATTTTGGAAAACTGTGGTCCGACAAGAACTGCGATATATTTCATCAGCAGCCAAAACACGACGCACTGTTTCCACAAGGCGATGATCCGCTCTACATGCGCAGATTGCTGTCCATGGGGCTTTTCTTGGCCCAACAAATGCCTGAGGAGGCATACAAAAGTTGAGCCTGGCCAATTGCTGGCCGCGAGATGTTTCATTCTCGCTCGGCATGGGCTACTCATGCTCGGATTTATCGTTTGTGCGCAGGCGTAGGAACCCCTGTCCCGTGAAACTGCTGGGAACTCAGCTGATTTGTGTGTTTTCAATGAGATCCCTCCAAATGTCATCCTGGACAGACCAAACGGCTTTGTTGTTCATATCCCCAAGCTCCACTCGACTTAAGTTACTCTGACTCGAAAGTTCTGTCTCGCCTGACTCGGCTGAGGGCCCGCGAGAGTCGTATACCCAGCATGCACTTGCTGAAAAAGGGCTGGTCAACAGCTCCTGTACGAATCTTCTAAGCCCAAGACTCGTCGAAGGAAATGCTTCAACGTGCCTGCCATGTTTGGCGCCGCACGATTTGTCGAAAAAAAGCCACCAGCCCTGGAGAAAAACAGATCCTGAAACAAACGCAGTGTTCAAACCATGGTTCTAACAAGGCCTGATGCAGACGAACCCGCTGGTGGAAAAAAGGCCTCCATGATTACTCATTCTTCAGTTGACTTCCAAGGGACACCCCCACACCACTCAGCCGAGGGGAAAAAAAACACAACTTCTTCCCCCTGCCTGGACTTCCAGTACGTAAGCGAAATGCCAGTGGTAGCCGAACATTTGGTCCCGTCCATCAAGACCAGTGCGGCTGTGCCCTGGTGGTGTCGCCCCCAAGAAGAACTCACAGCCTGGCACAGGCTCAATCAAAAGCCTTCCCTCGAAAATATCCCCAATGGCAAGGGATGGTGCACCTACCCCAAACTGGTACCATGGATTTTGACCCACAACCACTTAGATCGACAAAGGCCCTCCAGTGGAGAGGGAGAAAGGGCACTACTGGGAGAAAGGGATGCGCAAACATCCCAAGCTGGCTCAGAAGGTTTCAGAAGGTGACTGCTTTGTTTCATTTAAACCTAAGTTGGTGGCTTGGATTTGTGGTTTGGGAGTAGAATCCATGGCTGTAGACATGGAACACCTCTCCTGTACCACCAAACCGCCGGGCTCCAAACCACCCGATTCGAGGGAAGCTGATAGATCAGGCCCCAAAAGCAAATCCCCACCTGCCACTTTGTGGCGTTGTCGCTGCTCCTTGGCGGTCGCAAGCAAGTGATCCAAGGAGTAGGGCCCGGCATACCAGGCCTTCCATGCCTGTGCAGATACCCAAAAACCAAAGATGAACACTTTCGGGAAAAGTAATATACAAAAAAAGGTCACAAGGCAGCAAACGAAAAGCTCGAGTCTTCAAAAGCCTTGAAAAGCGAACTCCTAACTCCTGCACTGAGTGGCAATCTCCCTCTCCAGCAAGACCTTCAGCTTGCAGCCCTTCTTCTCCGCATCTTCTAAAGCCTCCAACACCGCAGGCGCCTTCAAGGTGAGTGATGTGACCATGATTACCAGGCGCGCCTTCGGCTTTTCGCTGCGCGAGATGAGGGTGAGAAGATAGGACACGAGGCCAACCCCCTCCCAAAAGCCGCCAGACAAAGGCGACAAATGGTTGGCCGAACATTCTGGTCGGGTTGGGATGTATGGTGGATTTGACACGATGAGGTCAAAGTCTGGATCTCTGTTGAGAAAGGCCACGGCATCTTCTGCCAGGAACTTCCAGCAGATGCTGCGGCCAGTGGAGCTGACGGCCCCGGAATTGAAAGTCGTCCCTTCGTAGTACTTGAGAGCACTGCGGTCTATGTCCACTAAGGCCACTTCAAGCTCACCCTCTCCGCGCGCATGATGCGCCACGAACTTGCCGATGAAGCCCGAGCCGCTGCCCACGTCGATGACGCGCTTCACTTCGGAGGTCTTCAGACTGTCCACCAGCGCCCGACACACCAGCATGGTGTCGATGCTGGGCTGCATGAAACGCCCACCCGGCGGCCGGGCGAAAATGATACCCACATCCCGGAAGTGCAGATATCTGGTTTCGTAGGGCTGCACGACGAAGCCCTTCCCACACTGGATTCCCACAAAAGAAACAAAAGGGGACCACGGTTTCGGGGACAGGCTTGAAGGGAACCCGTTTTGGATTTGGCTGGGGTTTACCACCTGCCAAACAAAGCTAAACAAATCTAGGAAAAGGGGAACGTCCGCATACTCTGGACAATTGCGTTGGTACTTGATTTCAAAGGTGCCTCAAAACAAAGTTAGAAAAAGGGAACTGCGCCCACTGAAACGGATTCTCCAGCAAAAAAAACACCAAATAAAGCAACCCAGTGTGTGTGTGTGTGTGCTTTTTGAGGGTCTTCCTTTGCGCCCAAAGAACGCCCTTGAAACAAAGTTCAAGAACGGCCGCCCCCCCCCAAAAAAAAACAACAACAACGGTTGCTGAGTAGCTGAGTTGGGTGCTCTCCTAAAAAAAGACTGCACGCAACTCTGCGTTGGGTTCCCCCCCATTCCCCGGGAAGTTCCCCATCTCGGGGACTTCCGTCCACTGGCCGCGTCCGCGGGGGCGCCTTGAACGCATTGGACATCACCACCGGATTCTTCACCCGGATGTCCGGAGCCCCAGTGGTGCTCACCACCCCGTTCTTCACGCAGCAGTCGTCCCAAATCAGCTGCTCCTCGACCTCCGGGTCCGGGGTCCGGGGCTGGGGCGGGGGGGGGGTTGGCCCTTGTGAGGTAGAGCGGATTTGATGCCCACCCCTTGTTTAAACGTGTCTGAAGCATTTGAACAGCTTTTTTGGTTTTCCATGGTTCTCTTTTCGAGCGGACCGCATCGGGGCGGTTGCTAAAACGCATCTTGCGCTTTGACCCGCAGACCTCGTCATCGAAGACTACAACTGGAAGGCGGGCAACCTGGACAGTGCTCGCAAAGGTGGCGAAGTCATAGTCACAGGATTCACAGCTCCGCCCAACAGATGATCCACTGTGAGTGGATGGAACCGGGGAGCTGATCTTGACGCCCGTGTCCGGCTTCTTGCGAACACTCCGATCACATCTCTCCGGCAATTGCTTCACCTCAGGCTCAATGGATTCGCTACGGGCTCGTCCTCGCAGTGATTTGCTGGAGAGGCAACTGATACATGCCATCTCACGAATCTACGAATCGCCCGACTTGCTAAAAGTGACAAGGCTTTTGCTAGTCTTGGTCAAAGTCTTGGTGGAAGTGCTGGATCTGTTCGGCAAAGTGCTGCCCCATGCCGCAATTCTGAGCCTGGAGAACTACCAAGAAAGACACCAGTCGCCTCAAGCTCCGCAGTCGTGAGTGTTAAGTGGCATTGAACCTACAGCCTGACACTTCTCGTGCTGGGACATGCGGGCCCGGATTATCCAAACCCAGGTTAATAATAGGGATTGTTCCCCTCCAAAAGTGATGATTCTCAACAGGGGTTGATTCATCCGGGCTTGCCGTGACTGAAATGGCAAGGGTGCTTGTGGCGCCGCCCAATCGGACTGGACATGGAGCTGAGATACGTACTCTGCGCTTCACAAAACAGGGGGACCTTTGGTTGACATCAGAAATACATGGTTGGGTTTGTGTCCGCCAACTATTTGGGAGGCAGACAATCTGAGTGACACTGAGTGAGTTTGAATATGTTTGAGTGAGCTCAGACTCACTCAGACTCACTCAGACTTACTCAGACCCACTCACTCACTCAGACCCACTCACTCACTCAGGTTCACGCACTCACTCTCACTCTCGCTCTCGCTCTCACTCTCCCTCTCATTCTCACTCTAACTCACTCACTCTCACGATCTCTCACTCTTTCACTTCTGCATCTGTGTGTGTGTGTGCATGTTTGCGTCCCAGGGGCAACATGTGGCAGTTGTTTAAAGGGACTGGACATTGTCAATCAAAGCTTTTTGGTACGGTGTCGTCACCGTTACCTCGCCAGCTTACCCACTTTTTTCCCTTTCAAGCTAAACCTGATTAATGGTCTGGTTTGGCTATGTGAAAGGGGCGGTCTTTGATTGTGTTAGGGCTGGGTGGTTTCGGTCGTGTCACGGCGCTGCACAACGCAGCCATGACAGCTCTCTCAAAGAGACTGCTGAAGGGCAAAGCGCAGTGCCCGCAATGTTGGGTGCTCGTGGTGGAGAATCGCGTCTTTTGGCCAATCGCGGACTTCTGCAAATCCCTCTTGAGTTTTGGGAGGCTTGGCTTGGGTCCATGTACTTGTTTATGACTCCAGCAATGTGGAAACGGAGGGTTTCAGAATATACCTGGGGTCATTAGGCTTCCCGCGGCCAGGGTCTTCGTCCAAGCTTGACTCAAGCGCGCGGCCCGGGGGCTCAACTTGCGTGACAGGAGAAGCACTTTGGAGACGACATGCAGATTTTTCCCGTGGCAGGTGCAGTCTTTTCTGCATCTGGGTGTGTGTGTGGGTGTGTGTGGGTGTGTGTTCTCGCGCGGCAGGGGCGACACTTGACAGCTGTTGACAGGGACTGGTTGTCGAGCGTGCGGCCGGGGGGGTTAATTTGCATGGCAGACGCAGCACTTTGGACATGGCATGCGGATTTCGTGGCAGGTGCGGTCTTTCCCGCATCTGGGTGTGTGGTTGTGTGGCAGGGGCAGCATTTGGCAGGTTTTTTTAAAGGGACTGGATGTTGTCGCGCGCGCTGGCTGGGGCCCCTGTTTTCGTTGCAGAGGCAGCACTTTGGACATGCCTCTGTACTTGGGATATACTACTCTCACTCGTCTCACTCCCACTGACCCACTCTCACTCATCTCAACTCTCACTCACTTCGCTCGCACTCATCACACTCACCTCACTCAGACTCATCTTACTCATTCCACACACACTCACTCATCTCTCACTCATTCTCATCTCACTCATCTCACTCATCTCACTCATCTCACTCATCTCACTCATCTCACTCATCTCACTCATCTCACTCATCTCACTCATCTCACTCATCTCACTCATCTCACTCATCTCACTCATCTCACTCATCTCACTCATCTCACTCATCTCACTCATCTCACTCATCTCACTCATCTCACTCATCTCACTCATCTCAATCATCTCACTCATCTCACTCATCTCACTCATCTCACTCATCTCACTCATCTCACTCATCTCACTCATCTCACTCATCTCACTCATCTCAATCATCTCACTCATCTCACTCATCTCACTCATCTCACTAATCTCACTAATCTCACTCATCTCACTCATCTCAACTCTCACTCATCTCACTCCCGTTCTACATGAAAACAGGTAGGGGGTCTTGTTTTGAATGCTTCGTCTTGCGCATCCACCTGAGATTGACATGCGATGGCTGGGAGTCGCCTGGCGCAGACACGCGACAGGAAAAGGCTCGCAGCAGCAGCTTTGTTCATTCCTTTGTTCTTCTAATCTTGCTTTCTTGCTTTCTTGATTTCTTGCTTTCTTGCTTTCTTGCTTTCTTTCTTTCTTTCTTTCTTTCTTTCTTTCTTTCCGTCTTTCTTTCAATCCTTCTTTCTTTCCACGCTGCTAGCGTCCTTTCATGCATGAGCCTTGATCAAATTTGCTGCAAACACTTTGCATGTGGGGTTGTCCGGTCCTTGATTTCTTCGTGGTTGTTTTGCATGAAAACTAACAAATAACATGATATTTTGACCGAGCCGCATTTGGCTGCAGGCCCGAGGAAGAGTGTCCAATACCAGTGGCTGGCCAACGACTGCCACTTTTCATGAGGCACACCTTTTCCGCACGCAGATTGCTCTTTCAGCCCTCACATTCGTAGGTGTCCTTTCTTGGAAACAAAAAGATTCTGGTAAACGAAAAGGAACTACAGTGAAACCAGTGGAAGCCATGTCTTGTCAAACAATCACTGAGATAAAGGACACCTCGTACTACTCTTCTTCTTCCTCCTCCAAGTCCTCCTCCTCTTCGGCGATCAGCTCAGGCTCCTAGTCGCAAGTGTGGCCCAATTTGCGCCTTGAGAGTTGTCAAATTTGCAAAGTTCGGCCATGTCAAGATTCAACAGGTCCAACTGGGGATACCCTCCCGCCAACAATCATAAATGCTGACAGGAGGGTTGTGGAAGACACTTTCCTTTTGGGAAGCCTCGTGTCCACTTCCATTATTGTTGAAAAGAGGATAGTAACCCTTCACCTCTTTGATTGTGGCACTTCAAGATGACTCCTCACGGACCGCTTACATTGGCGGAGACCCTTAAAACTCCGCGAGCCATTGGAAAACATGGAACAAGTGGGCAACGGACAACGGACAAAAGCTCTTTCCTAAGAGATGGGAAACATCGCCTGGGTTGTGAGGAATTTGCGCTGATCCCCTTTCTCGTCCTCCCCAAGCCAAGAGTCATTAGACTACCGAGTCATTAGACTACCGTCAAATTCCCATACGCTCAAACGTGGATGGCACACGAGCAATGGGTCAACTTGGCCGAGGGTTGAATTTTCATCCTGTCCATGAAACGTGAAGCACAGCCGAGCATATGAGTGGTTCAGCGAAAACCAAACAGTGATGCATGTGTGAGATCGATCAGACCCCCCCAGCGCTCTTGGGGATGGGCCCAACCGAAAACTTGCTAAGGTGGCCTTTACCATCGTGGATTCTTCAGGTGTCATGTACCCGTGCTCTCAACCAGAAAGCGTGCGCTTGCGCTATGGCTTCTGTGGTGCGAGCCACGTACTTTACAGGTCGCTCGTCCTTTTTGCCGGGCAAACGTGGCATGCAACTCCAAAGCCTTGCACTTGCACGCCAAATCAGACCGCCGTGCACAGGAATCCACTGTATGATCCACAGAAGGGGGGACTCCATAGGTTCAAGTCTGCCTGAGGATCAACAAATGGAACCCTGGCCGTGCAAGGATGGCAATGCACCTGTACACCAGGTGGTAACCCGGCTGGCACTGAAGCGGCCCCATATCCCGAAACGCACGTTGGCAAGGCGCTTTGCACCACTGCACCCCAGGTGTGAAACGGCAAGGGCTCCCTATATGTCCTTCTCAAATATCACCGTCAGCAAGATAGAAACCACCTAACATGTGGCTCATGATTTTAGGCATGGAGAAATATGCGGGGACCCCTTTTCTGCCTTCACACGGTGAAGGAATGCATGAAGGGCCCCGCGGATGATAGCTCCATCACTTGCGGGCCATCGAAGGCACCTGGCCAAAGTGGCTTGCTCAGCTTGTCAGACCGACGCACTTTTTCTATCAGTAGCAGCAAAAAAACGTATGCCTAGACAAAAGATATCGGGAAGGCTAGTTTCTTCAAGTTTTGAGGGAGCGCGCCGAGCTGCGGATGTCGCCGGCAATCTGTTTGGCGGTTTTGCGGCGTTCTGCGAAGTGAGTCATCGCTGGTTCAACACAAGGCCGGCCCACTGCCGCCTATAGTTCACTGATTCATTCCAGAATCCTCAAGGTAGATCAAACCCCGGGGGAGGGGAGGGAAATTCGAAAAGTTGGGCTTTTATTGGTACATACCTGGAATTGCATGTTCAGCCCGACCTCCTGCCGTTGATGCACTTCAAACCTTCCTAGTCTTCCCTCCTTCCTGCTTCGCTGATCTTCTCTTGCACGTCCTTCGCCACTCACCTACTTGCTCTCCTAGCCTTTGGCATGGCCCAACAAATCAGTCTCGAGGACACCCTTTCCAGCACCCTCCCGCCTCCCTCCCTTTGCGTGGGTGGGGGGCCTGGACTTGCCATCACTTATATCCGTGGATATGATGGAACCAACCCCTAGAAAGGATATGTTGTGGCTATGAGGGAACTAAACAGTGTCACGCCACTTGTAAGCATTGCCCCCAGGGTCCTAAAATTTGGCACGGAGGACGAGCAAATCCAAATTGTTTCGTTTCTCTTCCAACCTATGCTGGGGCCCGAAATTCCATCAGGACTTTTCGGGTACTCTTCTTCAAGTCGCAAATATCCGTGGTTATGAGGTAACTAAGCCCTGTTACAACCCCTTGCTGACCTGACTGAAGGTTGAAGATCCACCGTCCCGCGGAACCGACTTCGCCTGCAAGGATCTGCGGAGGCGAGGAGCTATCAGCAGCAACTGACTGCAATGCCTGAGCCACTCTGACGCTTCACGCAACCAACTCGATATTGTCCATGATATTCCAGGCGAAGGCAATGCTCAAATCGCTCGATGCGGTCGATCTGCCCCCAAAAAAACAAGCCGAGATCTTTATGGTGTGCTCGCCATGCCGTCAAATGATGCTTAAGCCCACCCCTTGGAGGGAAGAACAGTGCTTCTCAAAAATGGGACCCCTCCAGGTAGCTTGCTGTAAAAATTGCCCTTTAAGCGGTGACCCTTTGGGGAATGCTAGAAGACAGGCCCGAAAACATGTTTGCAACGCGCATGCGCTAAGGAGTACTGGGCAATGGCAAGTTGGGAAGCAAACAAAAATGTGGGGAGCATGCTGAAGTCTAGGCCTCGTGCTACTTGTTCTGCATGTTCTTTTCTGCATCTTGCTCAGCGTTCGCGGGGCTGCGCAGTAAGGCTGGCGACTTTATCGGCAGAACCTTTGCATTTTTTGGGAGAAGCCGAGCCAGAGCTGCGAAACGGTACTTGCCATACTACTTTTCCACTGACTTGCGATATGCACGCTGAAGCTTCGAAAGCGCGCTTCGCGCACCGCAATCGTACTTCAGTTTACTTTCAAGCCGGGAGCTGCACCAGCACATCGCTGGCTATTGTCGTGTTTGAAGGATTGTCAAGCCAGGGCGGTGCCAGCCAGTGTACTCGCGTCACTTTCGAACAGCTGCTATTCGAAGCTCGCCCAGTGCAATGCTGCAGAATCAAAGAGCACGAAACAAACTTTGAACATTGAGTGCGCCGATCTCCGCAGAGGGCCGCGTGGGCAACTCAAAAAGTAGCATTTCCCCTCTGCTTTTGAACATCGACCAGGCCGATCGGGGCAGAGCGTTGCGCGGACAAAGATCAAGTAGCAAGAGCCCACAGTTTTACACGGCAACCGCACCAATCCCTCATCACGCGCGAACTCACTAGACTACTTCTCTAGCCAAACACTACAGACAACCTCTCGTTTAACTTGCTCAAGCAATATCTTATGTATTTTGCTCGCGCAACTTGATTTGCAAGATGATTGTGTATCTTGTTTTTATAACTTGCTCAAGCAACCTCTGATGTAACTTGCTAGTGTGACTTGCTCAAGGAATCTCTCATGCAACTGACTTGCTAGTGTAAACTTGCCTTGTGCACGCGGCACCATATTTTTCATGAAGATCCTTCTCAGCGCTTTGGGGAATAAGTGCCTCTCAAAAAGATACACCTCCCCCCCCCCCCCAGGTAGGTAGCTTCCCTTTGGCTTCGTCAAAACCATCCAAAAGCGGTACCCTATTCGGGAACCGCTGTAAAGGACCATCAATCATGAGACCGTTGTTCCCGATCGGTGGTCCTACTCTGATTTCTCCTAAATGGTTGTCCAGCAAGCCACTCAACGCCTCGCCTGGTTCCGCTTCGGTTTCTCAAAAGCATCCGCTTCAAAAAGGCCAAGCCCGCAATCGAAAATATGAGCCTTGACGAAGGCATCGTAGAGCTGGTGCGCGCTGCTCTTGCCCAGCTGCTGGGAGTATCTGCGAGGCCAATGAGACAACGGAAGTCCCTTGTTGGAGGAACAGTGCCCTTCTGTCCAATATGACTATGGATCCAAATTCCCACGACTAAAATAGTCTAAAGTGGGTGATGCACCTACCCAAAAAATGGTACCATTGGTGTTGACCACCAGAGGGTCCATTTAGAAGAAACATGGGCTTCCAGGCCCCAGTCAGGTTCCATGGTGGACAAAGGCTACGTGTCTTTTTGTTTAACAAAAAAGAGGACCAACCTGGAGTCCGCAAGTTCGAGAAACATAGAATATGGCTATGTATAAGTCGGGGACTGATTCATGTCATGTCCGCCAAGCACTTTTGAGGTGGTTTCCTCGTAAAAGTCATAGCCCAAGGGACTTACTAGGGGCTCTGGGGAGAGATTCCCTCACATGGGACCTGGGACAACCCCAGAGGAGATTTTGATTTTGGGCTGCCTTTGGCACAGCGCACTGCCTGCCTGACATCGACGTCCTGCGAAGAATTCTGACTCAAAGCAACCAGCTCATGCGCTCATACACCCATGCACTCATGCACTCGTACGCTCATGCACTCATGCCCTCATGAACTCATAAGCTCATGCACTCACTCGGCTAAGCCAACGGTCAATATTCATTTTGAGTTCCCCAATGACAGTGGATCTTGGTGAGTAGCCCTATGTCCTTGTGGTATTTTGGTGAGTGTGCCACATGTCATCCCCTTTAATTACCCCAGTTGAATTTGTTAGATATTGACCGTTGCTACGAAACAAGCAAGCGAATGACGCTCAATCCTTCAGCTCGGAAACCAAAGAGACCTGGCGAGTCGTCGACGCGTGGACCCCTTTATTCTTCTTTCCCTTT